ATTATACTGAATTACTTGGCACCCCTGTTAAGCCTGTCACTTAGATTCTAGAACAAATTAAGTTTGTTGAAGGCTTTGCTCTTTCTCTCTATTAAAATATTCATATCTACTCTAACAACCTGATAAAAACTGGCTAAAAGCCTTGCTGGTATCCCCAAGAGGGAGTGCCATTTTTAATGAATCCACAAGCATCATAAATAAAAAATAACTGGTCTTAATAAAGAATTGATAGAGCAGCTCTGGCCCAGACAGGTGTCAATGGGAAAGCTACACACAGCCTTGGGAGACTCAGAGCAACAAACGAGTCCCCCAGAGCCGGGAGGCCCCCATCCAACCAGCAAACTCCAAACAAATGCAGAATCAATGAACTTAATGGAATAACTTTCCATAAAATAGTTGAATCTAGTGGGTCTCAACGGGGGTGGATGGGAGAGGGTGGCTAGGAACCCTCTCCAAGCGTGTATAAGAAAGTGGAGGGGGAAGGGCGTGGTGGTGATAACAGTAATAGCTAACATGTTTTGAGCATTTACCATATACCAAGCATTACCCTCCCAACAACCCTACCAAATGGGCAGTATTAACCCCTCCTCACAAATGAAAGCACATGGACTTTATCTAAGCAGCCCAAGGTCTGAATTCCAACCTAGTTGTGACCCTAAACCCAAGTGTATAACCACTAAAGACTTGATAAAGGTTTTAGAAACATTAGTTAAAACTCTTAACTCACTCGTTATTTTTTAGTAAAACATGAGACATGAAGTCAGCAGATAAGGCTTCACTTGCTTGTGGGGCCAAGGCACCAAGCACCCTGGTTGGAACCTCTGTCTCCTTCCTAGAAGGCCAGCAGACCGCTCCCTCCAACCCTACCACAGAGAGCACAGGACTTAGAATCCCAAGCTCCAGAAAACACTAAAAAAATACTCACGAGGCCTTGGGAATCAAGAGGGAACTGCAGCTCTGGCTCTGTCATGGGGGGATTGCGCTATTTACTAAGCCAGTTATCTCCTCTCTGAGCCTGCAAATCCGTCCATTAAACAAGGATGCCAGCCCGAACTATTCACACCCAGCCTTGTTCCAAAAGGATTTAAGGCAGCTAACAACACCCACTCCACTGAGTGGTGGTCAGAATGAAATAGAGTTTTATTAGCTCTTTATGACAACAGCACTTGTTATGAGAGAGTCTCCATAAAGTGCCCAGCACGGTGCCTGGCTCACAGTGGGCTGGCAGTAAACTTGTCCCTGCCCCCTTGCCCTGGCTCATTCACACACCCTCCAGCCCTCCCACGATGCCTTCCCCAGGGCTCCCGTGACAGAGCCAGCACCACTCTCTCATTTGGCTCACTGCATTGCTGTGCCTCTCTCCCCCCACAGCTCTGCATTCCCTTCAGGACTCATAGCTTGGGATGGAGGCGGGAGGGATGCAGGGGGAGAAATGCAGGAGGCGGGAGGCCAGGAAAAAAGAGTTGAAGCAATCCTAGCTTCCCTCTCACTCCTCAAGTGCATTCACAAGTGCTTCATTCACCAAAAGGCTATTACTCTAGGGATCCCCCTGCAGAAGAGGTTTCCTCACTTAATCCCAAGCCTCCTTCCCAAGGAATGGCATTTAACTATTAACTCAATCAAAAGATTGAAGTCTGTGTGCCAATTCTTCTTACTCTGAGACCTTGGTCAAATCATTTAACTGCTCTGGTTCTTATTTACTTCCCTGTAAAATGGAAGGAGCACATACATGCTCCAGGTTCAGCTGAGCTCACATTTGTAAAAAAAATGTATAAACTTTGCTAAATGCTATACTCTATGAAGGTTGTTATTCTTACTATACACTGTGTAGGGTTGAAAGTAGGGTGATAGCCCCCAAAAAGTGTCCACCAGATAATAACAACAGCTACTGTTCATTGAACTTACCAAGAGCTTTGCCAAGTTCTGTAAATCTACTCCTCCCAAAACCCTATAATGAAGATATACGTCTATGCCACTTACAGAGGGGAAAGGAGACACAGGAACGCTGGGCCATCTGCACAGGGCCCACAGCTAGTAAGCAGCAGAGCTGGTTCTGAGCTTAGGCAGCTCAGCAAGTCCCCCAGACTTGCAGCCTTCTTTTGTCTTTAACTCCGCAAACGGTCGGACATCGAATGCAAAGTTTAACATGAATAGTGGTGACGGAGCTCTGTTTATGTTGGGTCTGCGGGGGTTGGGGGGGCTCCTTTTCCCTGCAGTCTTAGGTAGCTGTGTGAATCACAGCAAGAGGCCGTGTTCCCAGAGCCTGTTTGTCCTCTCTTCTCTATAAGCTAACTTTTCCTAGAAGCCTGTGCCCACACTGGCCACCTGGATCAGCGCGTCTCACTTGCTGCAATGTTGCCCTTTCATCAAATTGGCAACGACTTATCCGATCTGCTTGATGGGAAGGAACGGGCTGCTTGGGTCTCAGATCATCAGACGGAACAAGCCGCTTGTCTAGAATGATACATACATGCACAGTCTGTGCAAATTAGCTACAAAGTGAAGAATTTTTGCAAGAGGAAACCTGCCCATGTTTTTTAATCCACAGAAGTATCTCCTGAGATGCCTGCTTCTTTGTCCAAGCAAGAAGCTCAAAGGGAGGAGTCGGTTTTCACCCTCCCCCTTTCTCCCCCAGAAGGTGATTTGTGTGAACCAGCATCTGGCACATGCTAGGCACAGTCATTACCCCTCGCCCGCCCCCAGCTAGAGGGACAAGGGCGTTTATCATCAGAGGCTCAAGAGAGCCTTCCAGCCGCCTGATCCAGAAGGATTCAGAAAGGCCCCAGCGGGGACTGAGCTGCAGGAGAGCAGGGCATCCCAAAGCCTCCATCTTTCCCACAGTCCTCCTGATCTCCAAGCTTTCTTAACCATTGCCTCCTTGCAGAGGACAGTGGCTCGCGGGGTCCAAACTCTTCGGTCCTCAGCAAGGCCTCCGAGGCCCCTTCGTGAGGTGCTTCATGAGCCAGCACCACTCACCTACCTCTCCTGCCTTCCCACCACCGCCACCGCCCGCGGCCTGACCAGGCAGCTGGCTGTCCTGATTGCTGCCCTGCTGTCGCAGCGCCCGGTCCAGGACACAAGGGTCACCTGCGGTATCCGCGAATGCTTGCATTTCCCGAAACGGGCCTGATGTTTTCCATCGCCAGGTCTTCGTTCAAGCTACTGTCTCTGACTGAGTTGTCTTCCCCAGTCCTCTAACTTCCTCTCGTTTTACAAGAATCAGCTTTAGAGTTCTCCTCACTTGGGAAGTCATCTTCGACCCTCTCCCTCAGCTGGATTGGGGACACCAAACCAAAAAGACCCCAGCTATGGTGGAGAAGAAATGGGACTTGGTTTTGCTTTAACAAGCACATCTGAATTTACATTCCAAATGAGGGTTCAACCCTTTAAAGAAGTCGTTTGGCCCATTTTAAGAAATCAGCTGGATTTATGGTATTAGTAACCCTCTTAGAAGGCTAAGAAATACATTAAATTACCCAGAGCTTCATACCACGAAAGGAGGCATCACTTTTCCTGTCTCCCGGAATTCTAAATGAATCAAAATTCAAGACTGGAATGTAGCTGGGAGATCATCTCAACCCCTCCTTCTATAGATGTGAAAACTGAGGCCCAGGGGAAGTTGAGGTCATCCAAGAACTCAAATAGGACGTTGGTGGGACAGCTCAGATGAGACCTCAGCCCACCTTTAAGCCAATCGCACTCAAGACTAATCTTTTCATCTCGTATGTAGAAAAAAGAGCCAGTAAATGCCTCCCAAGAACTACTTTAAATCTCATTCCATGCTTTGTTTTGGTTTTTTGCTTCACAAGTTAAAGAATAATATTATATTGAAAATTCAAAGCAAAGGTGGAATGTTGTAAGAGCTCCAGATGGTTTCATCATAGGACGTATTATGTGAAGACATGGGGCCATTCCCAGTGAACAAAAGCTGCCCCAAGGTTCCAGGGGAACCAGTCGTTATTTAGTCCAATGTTTCTTAAGCATCATTCATTCACATGCCTTAATCCAATTTCTGTCATATCTGAATACCACTTTCATTATTACTTACTTATTTCTTTTCTTTAACTCACTTTTAACACACTTTTCCTTAACTCGCTTTTTAAAATAAAAATATCTGGTTTAAGCTCAGCCTAAGCAAGATAAATAATTGATAATCCAAGAAATCATGGGTCTGGTATGCTATTTTGCTGTTTTCCTAACACATTTAAGATGAACACATAACTATTAAAATAAAAACTATTCATGTGCCACTTAAAATCATTCTGCACACATCTAACTCCTGGAGTACATATAACATTACAGGAAACTGCTTTTATTCTAGAGCACAGTTGGTTCCATCCAAAAGAGAACTATTTCTTGGTATTCTTGGTAGTTTCTATGCAGCCTTCTGCGGGCACCTATTTCATCTGAAATGCCGATCAACAGTAACACGCGCAGATCCCAAACGAAAGCTTATCCTTACACTAACAGCTTTTCTTATCAACCACTAGATCACTACGCCCTCCACACATCTCATCTGTCACTGGGCTTGAAATAATCCTTTACCCTAATGTTCTTCACTGACTATTAATAAATTACGAGCAAACAGCAGAAATAATTACCCTTTCACCTAGGAAAACAGTGGTGACTGCGACTTAATGGTCTACCAGTGACGTACGGCTTCACCCGGCATAACAGATGCAAATGTGAAACGGGATATGGGTAAGTTAGTTTCACACAAGCTGTCACCTGTCACACAAATTACATGGGCTTCTATTAGCTGCTTGATTCACAGATTAAAAAAAAACAAATTCCACTCACAGTACCTGCGTCGTTCCTGGATCCCCTGGGGAAGGCAGAACCGACGCACAAAACCGCCCGAGAATAAAGGCCGCGGGGACAGCACCTTTTCCGAAGGTATGAAAATTCTGCTGGGAGTGGTGGAAATCGTGTTGGTCAGTCATCCAAGGGTTCAGAAGTCTTCAGAGGAGGAAAGGATCATCCGAGGTTAGGAGAGAAGCCCGAATGTGGATGCCATGGCAGAGCAGGAGCTCAGCAAGCTGGCCCGGTGGCTTACGGGTCTGCCAGGCCCGGGCACCGTGAGGCTGGGGGGCTGCTGGCGCCAGGCAAAGGCGACGCTAAGGTCGGCTGCCTTCCATCATCAATCTCGCCCCGACAGAACCTCAGAGCGGGGCCTTCCCTGCGCATTCCTGAGGAGCGGTGACTGGGGACAAAGCTGAGTTGCCAGGGGCCCTGCGGCCTGAGGCTGCAGCTGTTTGGACAGCTCTAGCCCAGGGCTCTTGATGGCATTTTAGGAAACTAGCAGATGCTTTCACAAAATGACCTGGTTTCGTTCACAGCTCTTACATCTTACTGTTGGGATATTTTACTTTTTCCTAATACTAACAGCCAGTATTGATCCAGTACTTAGCATGTACCAGGCACTGTCCTAAGCAGTTTCCACGTAATAACACATGCCCTGTCACAGAAAGTTTGACCTGGAAGGAGCCTGAGCTACTGCAGTGGAAGGAGCCCTGGGCCTATGTTGGGAGAAATGAGTCCTTTGCCTCCTATTAGCTGTGAGGTCTTGCGAGAGCCTGCCTCCCTGGGCCTCCGTTTTCTCGAGAGGAGACATGATGAGGTCTGCGTGTGAAGGCAGCCCTGGGCCAGCTGAGTCGTCCGGGACACTCTTTTGAGAGGGATTCGAGCCAGCAGGGGGAAGTGTCACAGTCCATGAGAATGGCTGCCCCTGTGGGCACGGGAGCAGGGAGGGAGCCATCTCTGAATAAAGCATTTCTAGGGTCCTTTCCTGATCCAATCACTTGAATCCATGGTCTCACACCAACTGTCCCACTGAGCATAGCTTCTTTATAAATTAAAGAGAGAAAGAATAAGAATTCGCTTTGGAGCCTTGGGTACTTCATTTCTGCCATAATGTATGCAGCCTTCAACAAGGAATTTAATCTCCTTAAGTCTCAGTTTACTCATCTACAAAGTAAGGACACAAATATTTAAGGGTTAAAAAAATGTGTAAAGCACGTAGCAGAGAGCCCTGATGTTCAATTAAGTAAAAGCCACCATTGGTATTTTCATCACGATCATCACTTATAGTCTATCAACCCCAAACTGGATTTATATTTTCTAACCCATGGTTTATAACTTAAAAAACATATTCTTACAATGAAAATGGAGTACTGTAATTTTTCTTGAAGAATACACTTGAGTTTTGTCCCAAGGAAATATCACTTCGATTTTTTTATTACAAAAAATTCCAAAAATATACACAAACAGAGGACATTATCATGAACTCCCATGGACCCATCACTAAGCTTCAAGCATTAGCAATTCATGGCTACTCCTATTTCTATATTACCACCCTCTCGCCCCTCTTCCAGACAACCTGGATTTTTTTAAAAGCAGATCCTGGATATCATACTATTTCACCTGTAAATCTATCTCTAATCAATAGAAACTATTCATTCTCTGCCATCTTAAAAATATTTGTTTTAAACTGAATGAAATGGCAATAGTAAGGCATAATTAGGAAATTATTTCCTCATACCTCTAATAAATATTCCATTGAGGTCACCAACAAGTGTATGTATTTGAAAAATAATAATAAGGGGCCGGCTCCGGGGGCCACGTGGGGGCTGTGGTATGCCTGATTTATGACAGCTCGACAGAGTGGGTTATTTCATTCTTCCAGATATTTATGACACCGCTAAAACACTGAATACATCAACATCAGAATTAATCATGAATAATATTTAATTAGTGCTTGACAAGGATCAATTTGGCAACTCTTTTTGTTCTTTCTCTTTCCCCTGAATAGAAAAATAGCCATAAACTAAAGTGTTTTATTTTTTCCATCTGCTTCTGGTAAAGCGCATCCCCGAATCGCTAACTTAGCTGAGATCTCCTGAACTTTCATATACCCAGGTAATTAGACTCAGATGCTGTCCGGACCAGGATTATAAATCAAGTCTGTGTGTGTAAGCAGAAAACGGGCCGCTCACACCAAGAGCTGTGTCACCGTTTCTCACGGGCCTTCCCCGGGGAGCAGGCGGCCCCGTGTCTCAGCAAAGCAGAAAGAAGCCTTCGTGTCGCTCCCGTGCCAGTGAAGCACCCTCACCTCCTGCAACTCCAGGAAGCGCTGATTTTAAGCTAAATTCTTTATTGACAAAAGAAAAAAGTCCTTTTGGATACTCAGACAGAAATTCTGCCCATAGCCACACTAGTCAGTAGGAGCCAGGAAACAAAGGCAACACAGAAGGTAGGGCCAGCGAGGGCATCTTTCCAACCAGATTAGATTGTTAGCATCCAAAGCACTTGGTGCCCCGAGAACTTCTGTGGCACTGTGTCCCGATACCCAGTCAGGGAGTTTTGTTCTACAGGGAATGATTAGGAGAACTCTCAGTCCATCGTTTTGTGACAATATATGTATTCGTTTAATTTTAACAGAAGATTAATATTTGTTCCAGTTAAGTTAGAATTTGAAATTGTGGAGCCAAAGGCTCCTGGGCTTTGGAAGGGGACTGAAAGGAAGTGTTAACTGATTGTTTTCAACTTAAAGGTGGGGGGGGGTCATTCTAAGGAATCCTCTTTTCTTTCACTGACTCATATCAAGTAAAACTAGGGTTGAAATACCTATTGGATTCAATACCCATCATCTTAGGAGACTTGGGGAACAGGAAACCAGCTAATATTTGTTCAGTTCTACGTGCAAAGCATGGTACATGCTAATAGAAGCCTCGCAACAACTCTGGAGTGAGAGATATATAGTTGTGAATTTATAGAGAACACAAAGGTTCACGTGCTTATATGAGGTTTCCAGAGTCACTGAGCTAATATGTACAAGTTAGGAGTTTAAACTAAGCCTTTCTGAGCCCACAGTCCAAGTTCGTACCACACAAGCTGATCCCCTATAACGGACCTTCCATTCTCGTGATTATAACTAATACTGACTGAGCACTATGAGCTAAGAGCTTTAGATGCATCACCTCATTTAATCCTCACACAATGTTGTTCTTATTCCCGTTTTACAGATTAAAAAAATAAGGCTTAGAAAGGATAAGTGGTAGGTCCAAAAGTTATCTGACTCAGGGCCTCCCTCTGAACATTCTGCAACATCTACCTGAAGGCCAACTGGGCCACACTAGGGCTTTTAGGAGCGGTATGATCCTCCGAAGCTCTGAGTTGCCATAGATTTGTAAATACTGCCGACTGTGTGGGTAGACACTCAGTGAATGTCACACCACTTAAGGGCACAAATAATTAGAGTTCTGAGCCCTCTGACACTGAACATGCAGCACACAAACACACACAGCGCAGAAGGGCAACCATGGGTACAAACCACAGCTGAACGATTTTCACAAGCGGGAGGAATGGTAAGAAGGGAACTGGCCAGAGTTTATCATAAAAAGCTAAGCTGTGAGAATATAGAATTGAAACAAAACTCCTATCT